TGGATTTGCAAACAAGCCGATGGCTTATCTAAATGATGCTGAAATACAAAATAAGTATTAATAAAATACTAATTCTATACTATTGCAAACTATCAGTTGAGCAATAATGTAATCATCTGATTATAAGTAGATAATGAAGGAGAAGTCCATATTGATTAAATCTACCAGATTCTGAGATAAATGCACGTATTGATTGATTTATTTCAATGTTTTCCTGTACATAATTTTCAACAATTCCATATAAAGCTTTCTTATATCATATCCATGCTGTATAATAATACCTATTATTTCTAATAATAGCATAATTTGGACACACAAATAAGTAATGAATGGTATTTTTATAACAGGTCCCACACATGCGGGATAGGTCATTTGACATGAATCAGTTTTATGTGAATTTAAATCACTACAAGCTGATCTGAGTCATGAAAGGATATGCCTTCGATTCTGTGAAAATGGAAATGCTAAAACATCTCCCAATATTAACCATGCAATTACAGAATCTGTTCACTTGTTTTTGTATGTAAAATATTTTTGAACGATTACATCCATCTAATGATTGTTTGTATGTGTGATATGCCAGTAGAGGTATATGTGTACAAGCATGTGCATACACATAAAAAAAATTATGTTTGTGTGGCTAGGTACCAGTATATGAATAGGTTGTTTAGTGCGACTTGTATATTAGCATCATCATAGCTTCAACAGACAGTTTATGTATATCAAATGTTAAATGTCTTTGTAGGGAGAATTGCATATCAAAACTGTCATTATTTTATTACTTATGAGTAGAACTTTTTAAGTATCTGGCATGATACATTTCCTTGGTCCACAGACACATGTTACCAGTAAACTGACTTGATAAGTAACATAACAGTCAGTGTGGTTGGAAACTAATTAAGCCGTCACTACTCAATTAAGTAATTAACAGACAATTGCAAGTGATAATACCCACCTGACACTTATTGCCCTGTTAATCCCTAATCCACCATGAGTTGACATTGAGCTCATCTTGCTAATGAGCTGTTGTGAGCGTAACGAGATGATAAACATCAAAGGTGGGGCAGGCTTTGATCAAGTGTTCTGTAGAAGAGATTATGTCACTTGTTTAATGTTTATTTAGGATTAGCTACATCCCTTGATGCGACCAAGACCATACTTGAGGTTATCAGACAGTTTGTCTGGATACAGCCTGATGTCTCAACTGTACTTATTGGATTCTGCCTTGTAGCAAACTATGTGTGTGACAAGGACTTTGACCACTCTGTGCAGATGCATAACAATGCATAATGAACTTGGGGTATGATTCAATTATGTCACACAAGTCAAAGATAGGTTCCACTGTATTTAGAAACAGACGATAGATGCAATACTGTGTAACTTTATAACAATCAAATGATTTACAATTACCCTTGAAAAGTTCCAAAACCAAATAGAACTACTTAAATTATGATTACACTTGACCAATATATTTGGCAGTTTTTGCCGTTATTGTTAATCTGAATTAAAGATAGGATAAATGATAAAAATATGATAATGCATATCACACACAAGTGTGTATTATACGCAAATAAATAAGTCTTGTATACATTGATTAATTGGAAAGGGTCCTAATTGGGATTGTTCACTAGCCAATATATTAGCAAATATTCCCATGGGCGCTTATTAGAGCGAGGCGCTTATTACGTCAAATACTTTAGTTCTGTTTTTATGTATAAGAACCTATTTTATGCAATTTGCATTGCCTTGTTTACCTTTCCTTATGTTTTGATGTAATGCAAACATTTGAGAAAAATTCAGGTGAGCCTGCCTTATGGCACTACAGGAATTGTTTTCAGAAGATCAATTACAATTTTGTATTTTCTGTACAATTTACTGTTTGCTATGGCTTTTTTACATTGGTTAACATGGTTTGGTTAACAGTTGCTTGATAAATTGTCATTACCTTACTCATTGAGAAACCAAATTTTTACCCTTTGTCAATATATGTGTGTTTCTTATATTTTTAATAACAAGCTTTTAAAGATGTTATATATTGTTTCAGGCACCTGGATTTCACAATGACACCAGATCAGACAAGTCATACAAAGGACTCTCCGGATGATGAATAATCCTCCCCAGAACAACTAACAGGTTCACCTCAGAAAGTGATGATTCTGAATGAATAATGCCACATCAGTGTGATTCTGTAGGTTGTTTTATTACGACATTAATCAAGTCTAAAGGAATCAATACCACAGCAGTGAGACTGTTTATGTGGTGTACACTGACGCTGACTATACAAATCTGAATGACTTTTGTGGTTTACTGCACAAACATAATTGACTTTAGATATTCTTCTACCTTGAAATTCTTCTGAGATTTGACTAATTTGTTTATTTAGAAAATGGCATTGAAGCATCTGTTTCTGTTTTTGAATGTTCTTGCAAACACCTCTGGTTACTGAACCAATGAAATGTCATAAAATCAATAAATATGATTTTTTATCTTAACAATTTTTTTGTTTTGCTTCTTTAAAGAAATATGATATTGATCATTCATAACATAGGTGCTAACATATATCAAATATACTAATGCCCTGAATGTTTTCCTACAATTAATACAGTTCACTGAACGAAGTTTTTAGTTCCATGTCAGTAGAAAAGTTACATTGATATTTTTATGTACCAGTACTTTATTGGGTGTTTTCTGTGGATGCCATTAGTCTTATGCACCCATTTGGGTTAATGATATTCTGTTTCGAACTTCAATGAAACTCGTCTGTCAAGATGTAACAAGTATTGATACAGTTCCAAAATAAACTTTTAATCTCACCAGGAACAAAGGCCCAAGTGAGCACATAGCCAATGACTTTCATTTTTTGTCAGAGTGAGTATGGTGTTATGCCACTTTATGAGCAAAATTCAAACAATATTATGATGGGTGACACCAAGCAATGTACCGATGTGGTGAATCGAATGCTTCAACCACTAGGCTAAAACAAACTGGGAATATGAAGATGATATGTAAGGATACCATCATACCAGGACTGAATGCTTTTCATTTAATACGCTGAACATCTAAATTGAAATATATATGAACTTGAAAAATGTTTTCACCAAAAGTACATGCCCATAGATCTCAACTTCAAGGGGATATTTACAACTAAAATAGCACAGAATATTACTACAGCTATCTGCTATGCCCAGGCTAACATTATTTACTAGGAGAAAGACATCTCGAAAAATTGCTTCCGGATAACTGCCGGATAACTGCCGGATACCTGCCGGATACCTTCAGCAATGTTCAATTTTCATGGTTAGTTTCCAATATATTTTTAGGTGTTTCACACTTAATTGAACAAAATGCACCCCCCAAATTGTGACATGTTTTTGGAAACTCAGAATGAGGTATCCGGTGCCGGATCCCTGGACACCCAGATTGAGGTATCCGGTGAGGTATCCGGTGCCGGATACCCGGATTCCAGGTGATATACTTTCCGGTGAGGTGTCCATGCCGGATACCACAGATCTGGTATCCGGCAAGGTATCTGCCACCGGATACCCGGACGCGTTTTGGGTAAGTGTCCGGTGGTATCCGGCAGGTATCCGGATACCGGAAACTGCATTTTTTTTGCTGTGCATCGACACCCACTACATCCCTTTCAGAGTCATCAGACCACTATACCTCCCCAGCTTCGTCTTCTGGGAGCTTCGACATAGCGGATCTGATCACTGTACTTATCTGGATAGCAGATAAGTTACACCGTTAAAAAACACTTCAACGGAGGACACTTTATCATCATTTGTTGTGCCTTCAGCCTCGTCGCCGAACATCACACTCCCTCCGAGACCAGTCCTACAGGATATGGCCACCAATTTAGACAAAGCATTTGGATCCTTTCGCCGTCATCGTGATCGGCTTCAATCTTTAGCTTTGTATTGGTGGATGCAGGGACTCATGGCTTGTCTACGATTTCTCCCGAACTAGATGGTGACATCACAACATTAGCTCCTAAGCGTCCGTACTCAGCTTCTTCAGTGGATGACAGGGACCTCATTCACCTCGACACCACTGTTCGAAGGACCCTCCCGTTGGTCTCCACTATTTTATCAGCAACTGAAGCACTTTCGTCGGCTCTAGTTCATGCATCTTCCTCGGAAGAATCCTGTATTCGAGGTGCTGTGACCCTCATCCAGGATAAAACGACAGCTATACTAGACCTCCTTGCACACCATGCGGAATCTATCACTTCTCTTCGTAGACAGGGGGTGTTACAACATTGCTCACGGGATGATCAATTTAAGAACAGGCTGTACCAAATGCCATGGTCAACACCCTCCCTTTTTGCTGGGCGCATACAGGAGGTCGCCCATGAAGTCCAAAGAGACACTTCCCTGCAAGTCACTGTTGACTTACTTCATCTCCAGAAAAATCAACTGGAAGAACAAAGGAAAGACCGAAGACGACCAACCTTTACTCCTTCTCAACAAGATCTTAGAGAAGTTTTGAGTAATAGGTCTGCTTCTTTTCGTGGCCATGGCCGAGCACGCCAACATCTCCATGGGGGGAAATCAGGCGGACGCACCGACTCCTTTTCAGGGACTAAAGGAAACACTAACTCTCCTAAGCCAGGAGACACTAACCACAAATGACTCACTACAACAGCAGAACGACTGGGTCCTTCCGACTCCAGCCATTCTGATTTTCTTGTCTCCCGTAGGCGGAAGACTAGGCACGTTCGGTTTAAACTGGACCATCCTAGACGACCCATATGTGTCTCGTCTCCTACAAACAGGTTATCCTCTACCTCTTGCCACCACACCTCCGATGACGTGCAAACCGCCTCAACATCTGTATCCAGCCAAACAACTTCCAGTTCTCATCGACGCCATAAACACGTTACTTGTAAAGAACGCAATAGAGTGTCTGGGCACTCAGCCAATGACACCAGGGTTCTATTCTCCAATTTTTCTGGTTCCCCCCCAAAAAACAGTCCTCAACTACGTCTCATCTTCAACATGAAAACCTTCAACAAACTATACCTAGAGACTCCTCCACACTTTCGCATGACATCAATCGCTCTACTACGAACGATTATTCATCCCGGCGACTTCATGATCAGCCTAGATATACAAGACGCGTACTTACACGTCCCTATCCTGCCAGAGCACCGCCATTTTCTTCGATTTGAGTTCCTAGGCCAACACTACCAATGGCGAGTGCTCCCATTTGGAATTTCTTCGGCCCCGTGGCTATTTACTCGCTTCACAAAACCCATCGTCAAGTTCCTACACACTCGAGGCATCGTCTTCGAAACGTACATCGACTTCTGCATTCAAGCCAACAAGGATTCGAACACTCTACTTCATCACCTCAATTTCTCTCAACGCCTACTTCATCAACTAGGTTTGATCATCAGCCCCAAAAAGTCCGAAACTATTCCAACACAACGTCTCCAGTTCATCGGAGCCCTCTTCGACACAAGTCTGGGCAAGATGTTTGTACCCCAAGATCGTTGGGAGAAAATCCAACGCCTCGTTCCACTGGCACTTAAACAGCCACTTTCCTTACGTCAATGGCAACAACTTCTCGGTCTCCTAACATCAGCACAAGCCCTCACCAAGAGAGGTCAACTTCACTTACGGCCAATCCAGTGCTTCCTCAAACCCTTCCTTCAGGACGACGATTGTCGGGTTCTAATATCTCTTCCAAACCATCTACACCCACACCTCAAATGGTGGTTATCTCCGTCAAATGTCTGCGAAGGAGTCTCCTTGCAACCATTCAGCCCGACCCTCCACCTGTTCGTCGATGGATGGGGAGCTCATTGCCAAGACCTACAAGTGGCAGGGCGGTGGTCATTAGAAGAAAGCCAGCTTCACATCAACAATCTAGAATTCAAAGCAGTGATTCTGGCAGTGTCTCATTGGTCAACACTCCTTTAGTCCTCCACACTAATGATTCAGTCAGACAACCTATCGGTCGTGTGGTACATAAACAAGATGGGATCCACCAAGTCAACGTCACTTCTATCTCTAGCACTCGACTTCTTCAAACTGATCGACTCACTCAACATTCAAGTTCGAGCGAGACATATTCCTGGCATCGCCAACGTCATAGCCGACTCCCTGTTCCGACCCGACAAACCATCTCCCACGGAATGGCGTCTATATCCCGTGATTTTTCAGTGGATTTGCCAGTTATTTCCGTGCCCAGACGTCGACCTCTTTGCAACCCGCTTCAATACTCTGCTATCCCGGTTCGTATCTCCTATCCCAGACCCCCTAGCCTGGGACCACGATGCGTTAGCCATCCCATGGGAAGGACTATATGCTTACACCTTTCCCCCAACCGGCATTCTACATCGGGTTCTACAGAAGATATCAACGACTAATTGCCTCACTCTACTTTTTGTCGCGCCCTACTGGCCAACACGCAGTTGGTTCATAACGCTCATTCGTCTCGCAGACAGAAAGTTTTAACATCTACCTCTAAGGGACGATCTTCTGCATCAACCACAATCTCAGCTCCGTCATCCATCGCCAACAACCCTCAATCCATGCGTTTGGCGCATTTACAGAAATCATTGATAGCTAAGGGTTATTCTGAACGAGTGGCCAAGACCATTGCGGGGGTGACATGTCATCTACTAAAGCACTATATGACCATAAATGGAAGGCATTTGAATCGTATTGTCATTCACATGACATTTCCACACCTGCCACGGCATCCCCGCAACAAATTGCTGATTACCTTCACTATCTTCTATCATCTTGTAAACTAAAAGGTTCGAATCCAGCTACCTATTTAGCTGCGATCAATTCTGTCATTGCAACTACAACGGGGACTAAGATTTCTACAATCGCCGAATTACAATCATTGATCAGATCGTACAAGTTGGCGGACCAAACATCACGTTTTCGACCACCAATTTAGGATCTAAACATCATACTTCGCCATCTAACGTCGGCCGAGTACGAACCTCTTGCCGAGAAAGATTTCGAACACATTTCTTTGAAGACAGTTTTCCTTCTGGCCCTTGAAACGGCGGCTCGAGTGAGTGAAATTAACGCTTACGACGTCAACAGAGTGCGTTGCGAACGAACTGCACATGGGAAAGTATTTTTGGGACTACGATGGGATTTCATCGCCAAAAATCAACTCCCTGGTCAATCGACTATTCAGTATCCCACCGTTGACTGCCCTCTTAAACCCTGACGAAGACATATCGTTGTGTCCGGTACGTGCACTTCGAATCTATCTGGAAGTGGCGAAACTACTTCGTCCATTTCGTAAGAGGTAATTCATCCTGCTCTCTGCCGCAGCTACTACGGAAGTATCCCGTAACACAATCTCGTTTTGCATACGCTCAGCGATCCTTCGAGTCTACACCTTGACCGCAATTATGGAGGGATGTTTTTGGAAATCCGATACCGTGTTCGCATCCCATTACCTCCGAGACATCTCAGTGACGGACGTTCAAGGCCTTCACCAGTTTGGACCCTTGGTACTCGCACAACAGATCTCCAAGACACACCTGCGCAGATAGGGAGATATAACCAGATTTTGATAACAATACATCCATCTCTATTTATAATAAACATTTGTCATGATTATTGGTGTTTATTGTATTCATTCGGGCTTCCCAGACTGAGTATCCGGTTGGAGGATATAATCACTCGTCTGTAGAGACCTTGGTCTTCAACTTGAAGTCGTCATTAGACGCGGCCGATTTCGGTGTCCCGATCCCTTATTTCAAACACCTCTACTTTAGGTATGTGTGTTTAGTAACGGATCGATGATCCTTTTGTGGATATTGTTGATCGTTTCCTCTTCTCGTTTTTTACCCATCAATCAATCACTGACATGATTGAGGGTTTGACGAAGCGATAAAAGAGATGCCGAGCGGGTCCAACCTATCGTCCTCTGGAGATAGGAATACCCCGTCTTGTAGATTCGACGACTGGATGTATACTCTCTCGAATATAAGTCGTACTCGTTCGTTTTAGACATGCAATTACGCTTGATTACGTTTGAACATGTTACACATGTTGTACCCGACTTATTGTGTTTCAGTTGTTCACGTATCAGGATCTCAACATTCTTTGAGAGTGTTCTTCTTATCCTGTCTACGAGTTGTTGTTTTTTGTTGTTGTTTTTTTGTCTTACGACACTTAACTGTGTTACTGTATTAAGTATTGTACCACTGTTAAGTTCCAGCTTCCTCGTAAATATCCAATATCGAAGCAATTACCTATTTTGACTTGTACCATAATTATGTTCCCGTGCATTTTCAGGTGAACAGTTGATTGACTTTTGCATGTGTTTGTGACGGGTGCCACCACTGGGGCAGGATACGCTAACCATTTCGCGAGCACCTGGTATCATCACTATTTGATATTGATTCATACACACGTGCTTATGACATTGTCGGAATCGAACTCTCGACTCTGCTTTATTAGGAAATTTCTATTGGATATGGAAAGGGTTTTGTAGCTTTATTTACATGATAGTGACTATGAGCATCATACTTACATCGTATCAGTCAATGCAAGTCAGGTGTTTCCTCGACCGTAAAATTCATTCACATTGTACTCATCTGACATGACTGTGATCATAACGACTATTAAAGAGGGCGGTATGCTATTCAAACGGCTTTAAACACTCATTATGCCGTACCTTGCTTGTGGACGTGTACTGTATGTAATGCGTCAGTGGTATGTTGTTCGGTCGTACAGCTGTTACTGTGAGCGAGTATTCTTTGAATTCACGGAATATTGGAATGCTGCACACTGATTTGTACTTACATGTATCGCAGATGTTCTTGTTACTGGTAAGTATGTGTTTTGACGCATCAGTGAGTGAGAGTTAACATTTAACGTCACATCGGCAATATTTCAGCCATATCGTGACGAGAAGCAATACATTAATAACACATATATGTAGACTTTACAAAAACCTGTCATCAAGGGACAGTACAATAACTAGAATATCACCGTCTATTTAAAACTAGTTGAGGAACATTTAAAAGGAGAAAGAATTAACAACACAATATAAAAATGGGCTAGAGATCGTAGGTAACTAAAGGAAGATCACCATACCAGGGACCATGGGGACTTACAGTGCCTTTGCTTCCTCCATGGACCCTGGCTGGATTTATATCATCCCTTCAGTCACTGGCGATATTTTACCAGTTAAGCCAAATTTAAAATGACGAAAATTCTACGTTTTACAATTCTGGCACGCGTATAAATACTTCGAATGATGGAGGACTTACATACCCTCTTAGGGGGACAATACTTTTTCGCTACTTCAACCCCCCTTGAAGGTACAGCCACTAACAATCTAAGTTATGAATGAGCACTAACAATTTTTAAAACAATACAGTAAATACATCAAAATTTATGAATAAGATCTATTTCTTTTAAAAAACATAGTATTAAATGAGAATTAACCTTACTATAAAGGTCCTTCACTGTTTTTACACTGAAATATTTATCCCTTGTGATGAAAAATCAATACAGTCAAGCAGGAATGCTTGACCGTGATTCTTTCATCACAAGGGATACAAAACGGAGGATCCTCATTGGTAAATCTCGAATGGCCAATACGACATCGTCGCATAATGACCTCTTCAAATCCGGACTGACAACCCAAGTAGGTGTTACCAATATTTGGTTCAATTTCAATTTGGTTATTTATTGATACCTACTTAGGTGTCCCACTTCCTTTGCATCAGATCATGGATGTAAGATCTAATTATAGGTTTATAGTCACTGTATGGGATAAGAAGTGGTGTCACAGATTTGTTGAGTGCTGCTTTAGCAGCAGCGTCAACCATTGTGTTACCAATGATATCAACATGGCTTGGTAACCAACAAAAGACGATGTCATATTGGCCAGTGTAAGATAAGTAATTAATTCGAGAATTTGGATTAAAAGTGGATGTTTCGAAGACAAATTTTTAATCGCCTGAAGGCACGAAAGGGAATCAGAAAAAAATGAATTGTTTATGTTTAGATTGATTACTGATATATTTTAGTGCTGTAAAAAGGGCGTTTGCTTCTGCTGTGAATAATCGGGAAGATACTGTTCTGGATCCAATGACAGTGGCACTAGCAACTGCGACACCGTCCTTGGAGCCATCTGTAAATATAGATTTATTAGTGTCGTAAGTGTTTCTTAATTGATGGTATTCTTGTTGGTACATTATTTGGTTAGTATCGGATTTCTTTAGTTTTGTTAATGTAAGGTCTACCTCTGGCTTAACCATTTGCCAAGGAGGAGATGAGAAAAGTTAAGTAGCAGCTATATCTTGGAGTTTAATGTTAGAAGCTGATATTGCAGATTTTATTCTGATTCCGAGTGGTGGAGTGAGTGTTAATTTCTTATTGTAAAGATCTTCGTATAGAGGGTTGAATATGCATTCAAAAGCTGGATTTGACTGATTAAAATATAATTTAGTGATGTATTGTAAAGATAATTTTAGACAGTGTTGTTTAAGAGAAGGCTCATCTGCTTCCACATATAGACTGTGAATGGGAGACGTTCTAAAGGCTCCAAGGCAAGCCTCAGGCCCTGATGATGAATAGAATCCAGTTTTATCAAATTGCTTTTACATGCTCCACCATAGACGATGGAGCCGTAAACAAGTTTAGAGCGGATGAGGGTTCTGTACAGTTGTAGGAGGGTTTTCTGATCCCCTCCCCATTCTGCGCTGGAAACTACTTTTATTATATCAAGAGCCTTCAGGAATTTAGTTTTTAAATAATTTATGTGTGGCAGAAAGGTCAAGTGGTGGTCAAACATAATACCAAGGAACTTGGCCTCTTTGACAACTTTGATAGGAGCACCATCCAAAACTAAATCATGGTCTTTATGCGGCTTATACTTTTTACAAAAATGAATACAGCTAGTTTTGGATTTTGAAAATTTAAAGCCATTT